CTCTACTACTACCTTCTGTACAGCCAAGTGGGTCTATGTAAACTTCGGAATCTTCAAAACGGACGGGTTTATAATGACGGGTCCCAGGAACAACCCGGTCATGTGGAAAGCCATGGAGGAGGCTAGCAAACTCAAGCCGGATACAGAGTTCCTGATGGGTCAGTAGAGATATCTATTTATGAATATAATATAATTTAACGGCTCTCAGTGGCCACTGTGCAGATGTTGTCACATCGCCGCACCAAATCCGTAATGTGTTTTTTGGCACCCAGACAGACAGATTAGCCTAAGAGGCTCGGTGGGCGTTACTCCACCATATAGGTGGGGAAGTCGTGTAAAGTGCCTTTACCAAGGGCACAACGTCGGGCCACGGTGAGTATCGAACCCGGGACCTCTCGGTTCCGAGTCCAACGCTCTAACCGTTGCGACACCGATTCCACTAGATATTTATTTGGCAAATATTTACATTGTTTCTTTGCGCAGCAGTGCCCAGATTTCTTGTGAATGTGGATATTCATTAACCCTTAATTAAAGAAGAACTGTATTGCACGACAAGAGTACAAAGTACACAGTATGACAATAACATATTGAACATAGTACAAATAAGTATAGAATACAACATAACATCCTAATTTATACTGAGATAAAAAGAGCTTGTTCAATATACAATCGAGTGGGGCTAATCATGATTTTCGGTATTTTTTTCTAGCCTCTACCAGGCTTCGGGAGGCGGCTAGAAAGAGTAGAAATTCGCCAAATCAAGATATGACATGCCAGGGGAGTTGGTCCGCTAGAGAGTACCGTTTGCCGCACCCGAATTGTCTTTCTAGCGGACCAACCCCCCCTGCATTTCATTTCTCTATTTGGCCAGCTTTTTCGAAGTCTTCCGAAGCCTTCCGATGCTAGATTTGTTTTCTGATAAAAATCAGTCTTTTGTAAATTTACCTATTTTTGCATTGTGAGAGTTACTACATTTTATTTATTTATAAAGATGTATTCAAAGTCGAGAAATCTGTCAGCATTCCAGTGAAATTCATCTTCAATTAATTGCTTTGGTCAAAATGGGCAAAACATTTCGTCAGAAACTACGTTATAACTGTGTTCTACGTTATAACTGTGTACGGCAATTTTAGGTGGTTTTGCGGAGGCTGCCGTGACCACAGGAAAGTCTCCCTACCCGTACGAACGTCCCAACACCCACCGATACCTCATCTCACACTTCGCCGTGAGTACTCGTTCTACCGCCAAAAACTTTATCTTATAGTGTTTACGCTACAATGTTTATCATTTTTATTCAACATTTGTGCAACGCTTTTAATCCAATTTGCTACCTATCTGTTATTTTAGACTTAAAATTTCGTATGTTTTTAAGGTTATCTTGTCATTAATTTTGTTGCACATAATTCAGCCTCGGCTACCAGGTGGCAACTGTTGTTTTGCAACATTGTATTTGAATAAGCCATTATATAACTGAAAACGTTGATCAGACGCACAGAAAACTTACCTCTGTCTTGCAGGTGCCTGACGATATTCCAGCTGAAGAGTTCGAGGCTAACTGGAAAGACTTGACAGGTGTCAATCATCTGGAGAAGGCGGTGACACCAGACATGGGGTACGTCTTCTCAGCACTCTACCGCCGCGTCACACCCCACGGACCATACCGCTACGTGGTACGGTCCGAGTTCTCCGACCTGCACGACAAGCAAGACGTCGGCTTCGGGCTGGTCGAGAAACTTCGGCAATTCTTCGGCTCCGACGTCCTGACGAGCAAGAACATCGAGGCTGATACGGCTCTGAGTAAAGTTGTGATTGAAATGCAGCTAGATTAGTGTACCATCATCAGTCGTTTTTACTGATTTAATAGGCCACAGCAAGTAAATGTTATGGATGACATCCTCCGCAGACTCTGCAAATCTAATGGGAGCGGGCGAAAAAAATATGACGGGCCGAAAAAAACAAGGTTCCTTCATTTTAGAATTTTGACTCAATCATGGTACAAATGGTTTTGATTCAGTGGGAACATCACATATACACAGCCAGCATCACATATCAAAGTAAGAAACAAAACTTAAATCAGAGTTTTTTCTTGTCTCCTCTCTTCATAGTTATCTGCCATCAACCTTCCGGCATGGCGACAGAAATCTTTGCCCATTTTCGGCATGTTGACCACAGTCAGAAGGCAACGACATTTCTTTTTTTTTCCAAAATCAGGCGAAAATTAATGCGCGCGCTGATGTTATTCATGAAAATTACTTGCTGTGGCCTTACACCTGTATGTGTACCCGAGTACAAATGTACATAGATCTAGACGACATTGGCTCATTCAAACGTAACTAGTGAAAGATTCTTCTGTCCATTGGAGTGATGAAATTCTGTTAACCGTCAATAAAATGATATACTTACTATCTAGTTGTTTTGTTTTTTAACGTGAAATTGTTGTATTGCTTCATTTGTTTACGTACTAGGCTTTGATACGAAGATAAGAAGATAGCAGAACTTTGTGAATGAGCGGTGTTTTTTAATGAATGAAAGACCTTTATTGTACATTTTGCTCATTGCGAACTAAGTACAGGTCATGGTAAATAGCGATGGTAGACTAAAATATATCTATAGTAAAACGACATATGTACAGGTTCTGTTTCTTCTCGCTTCTTAAGACAGTTGTAAAATGTAAGAACAGATGGAGTTTATAGTACCAGGATTATCGAGTTTCATGAGGAGTGTGAATTTTTCTTTTCTTTCTTAAATCACATCAGTTCAATGAGGGGCGTGTTAGCAAGTGGGGGTGGGGGTGGGTGTTCTGTCAGTAATTAACACAATACAATGTATTTGAATACTGGCTTAAACGGACCTTAAATATATATGTCTCTGAGACATGCCAATATCGACCCTGGCATCTTCAAATATTTTATCTTTAAGTATCATTGTTCCGGAACTTTGTACTCAGAAGAAAGGTCACACACTCATCAGTGTCAGTACAAGACCCCGCCATGTTTGTTTACCGGTGGGTGTGTCCGTGTTACCATGGTAACCGTGTCACGTCCCTTTTTGTTTAAATCGTCTGAAACGCCGACATACCTGAGGGCCGACTTAATGCCGTTGTTTGTACGTACAACCTTTGCTTTGTTTATTTTGGCCAGGTGAAGTCACACCGAGTGTGTTTGTATTGGCCAAAGTTGGAAGTGCTGTTTTTTTGGCTAATATTGCAACTTGCTGAAATGTAGCATGAAAGTTCATCTGTGTTGGTATAATACATTATGCTTTAAAAGGCGAAAACTGTATGCCAAACACTAAGTAAATTGGGACTTACCCAGTTACGGACTCGAAAATTAGCCAGTGTCGGAACATATAGATTTAGCCTTTTACGTCATATTGCTGAAATATAATGTGGCCATTTTGGTTATTAATGGGAAAGTAACATTGACACTATATTGTGATTTTTTATTGTGGAACAACTATACTTTTATATCCTGTATTGTTACAATACAAAATAATGTCATCTGGTACAATTAAGGGACAGCATAGACAAGACTTGTTTTATTGATCTCCAAGCAGACTTCAGTGGCTGCAAGACAGTTTTCCAATTTGCCAAGCAGGGTCCAATTTTTTGCCATGCAACATGTGTTTAAAAAAATAACAGTACAAAAAAAGAAAGCCCAATATAAACGCCTAAAAACGCCAAACAAAATATATGAAAAATCCTAAGCCTCTGCTTGAATGCTATTGTTTGATGTCTGCAGGCATATTTGATATATGTCAACGTTGACAGCATAGCGGCAACGGAGTCTATTCAGCCGTGGACATGGGGAAGGGGCGTGTCTCTATGTCCATTCAACCTGTGTACGTGCTTCAAGTCACACAGGTAACTCAAGATCTACCAGCAACGTAACCCTTCTCAAAATCCGGCCTGTACAAAGAACAAAGACGCGTTTTAGTAGCTTGCCTAAACACAATACAGCTAACCAAATGGTCTGGTAATTTTAAGTGGTGTGTAACGACTGCTTTGGCGTTATATGTTAGTACTGACCTTGAATACCGACCCTAAGATATAGAAACGGTTCTCCCCTTAAATTAGCTGTTCTGCTAGTCTTGTAAGGTGACCAGACTGACAAGATGGCCGGTCGACAGCTGATGTTCCTGTATAACTTCTGGAGCCTTCCGAAGAGCGCCAGTGTGGTGAAGTCGCTGGAGGGATGGTTCTACGTGACGGCCAGAAGTATCTGGGACCCTCAGTTTGTCTCTACACACTTTCACAAGAACCTGGATCCCGACGGTACGCCGTGACATGTTTGAAGTAGCCTCCATAGCATGCCAAAAACTGGGGGTTTTGGGGGTCTTCAGGGTCTTTGGGAGCTTTTATGTACTATTTTCTGATTTCATATAGACAACATAGCCGGCCTGGTTGAATTACCCCCGTGTTTTTTAGAACTGGGCTAATCAGAAAACAACCGAAGACCACCAAACCCACAGTTCTATAAGCCTGCTACGGAGGCTAGTTTGAGGCCATTTTGAAAATTAACCTTAGCCTTGATTTTAATGCTATGGGGTTAAAATGCTCTGGGAAGCATGTGTGACGAGAAAATAATGTTTGCCTTCCCGGTGTCGCAACTAAGGTGAAATTTTCAGGACATACAGAACCCACTCATCAATAAAAAAATTACAAATACGTGTGATAAAACAAAAATTCAAGCCTCCCAAAATCGTATTTGTAACCAGATATGAGTTCAGAGTTAGATGTTCAAAGGTTAGGTGTGACAGGTCGTTCGGTGTAATGTAGCCAGCTGCCGCCGCGCCGCGTGCCCGCGAAGCTGGTGTGTTACGCCAAAGGGCGGTTGATTATACCGGCTATACAGATAAAGATATAGACATGTGTATGGACCTAGCCTTGGTCTAGTACATGTACTTTTTTGTACGTTCTGGCGATCATTTTTGAACTCCCGTCGTTAGAACAAACATTCATGTTTACGATCAAGTGCTTTGTACTATTTGAACGACTATCTCAAGTGCTTTCTTAATGCTAACCTTCTATCGACCACACTAATAAATGTTTGTCCAACGGTTTCCATACTAAATCGTATTTTTAAACCTGACATCTCAAACGCATCACTATACGTTGAATTGGGTCAACCTTGCATATACATAGGCGACAAACCTGTTAGGCAAGATCTGTCAGGTTTTGTATTTACTTAGCACTTAAATCGAATGTTACAAGTAGGACAATAATACAAGAGTGCGTATATACTAGTAGTAGATTAAATATGTACCAGATAGACATTATAACATGGTAAATGACCGAATAAAGAGTTTCTTGTTACGCAACTGTTTTATATATACCACGTTTCAGTGACCGTCTGTCACCTTCCCCGGTGCAACTGAATAAAACACTTGGCTGTGTAAAAATAAACTCTTTATCTTAGAATAGCTGTATAAGTAGAGTCACTGAATACTTTATCAACTAGATGTATATAGTTGTAGCGTATCGTAGCATTTACATGTAGAATTGTATAACATTCCTGGCAAGCAAAACTCTGTTTGGTAATCATAGAACATGTTTTGTATAATTAGGTACAACTGTTCACTGTACCCTTCATGAGTATAGTTTAGCGTAATGTAGAACGTGCGTGTAGAGTTGAAATATTTTCTAGCCAGTAGTTCTTTATAAAACTCTGTCAGACACAGTAACCGTTGACCATATATGTAGCATTATGATAGACACATACTAACCTGTAACTTTATACCATACATTGTACCCGTGACAATCGTTGTGCTATAAACTTTGACTGACTTTGACTGACTTTATTAGGTGACTTACAAACCTGATACTATTCACGCATGGTAAATGATGAACCATTAATAACACTAGAAAGGCCGACATTTGCTTTGGAGCAAATACAGCAATGGCTTCACCACATTTTACGACATGGCAGGGAAAGAATGAGAAACACAAGGGAAAACAATGCTTTACATTGATATAACTATAGTATGAAGTAACATACAACTAAGACTACAACAGTTGGATAGCTATTCCCTACATTATTGGTTAGGATTTTTAATTGCATAATGCAAACTGTTGATTTTCAAGAAAAAAAGAAGCGTTCATGCCCCGCATTCCAATGCTGGAGCAGGAAAGCTTAAAATACCTACCAAAACACTTGAATACAGACATACTGTCAGTATGGAATGGCTCTGTGCAGGTATTAATTAAGTTAAGCCTGTTAAATTCCAACAGCCAATCAGCAAGGAGAATAGAGGAAAGCTGCATGCCTATTGGTTGATGCCCTGCATTCCATTGTGATGACTCATGCCCAAATCTGGTAACACTGCCCACTAACTCAGTAATACATTTGCTATAACACAGCCAAAAAACTCAAATAAAACCATTCTAAAAGCCTGTATCACAAAAATTAAAAAAACGCCTGGGGGTATTTGCCTACTGTACCTCCATACCAAATTTCAGGTCCTTAGGCCCCCAAATGAAGAAGCTGAATCCATTTAAAGAAATGGCAGGAGGAGAAGAAGAAGGAGGAGAATCATGAGAAAAAGCAATATGGTTTCACCACTTTGTGGTGAACCCATAATAATCTGTATATCAACAGCTGAGAAAATCCAGTTTTTCAACTTCGGTGTGAGCGCGGGACGGCCGTGGCAGCCCTCCATGGACGTCATACAGGAGGCAGACCGGATAATTCCGGAGGGAGTACTCCGGCAGCCAGGTACGGAAAAACGTCCGGATTTGGTGTATAGTTTGTTGCAATGTTGTGAGTATTGTAGACGACTTGTAGTACATGCAAAGTTTATTGCAAAATCCATGCCCGAAGGATAATTGCAAGTTACAAACATATAAGAACGTTGAAAAACTATAGCCATGTCTAAAACTATGTCTGAAGGGTTTGGCTTCTTTTTTGTAAACCATGGAAGACATAATGTGCCACCTTTTCTAAATTTGTGGGTTTTGGGAAGTCAAAAGAAGAATAGTTTATTAATATTGTTTGTCTGTAAGGCCATGTTGATTTGATTATATGGATGACATCCGCGCGCGCATGAATTTTCGGCCGTTTCAAAAAAAAAGTTACAAAAAAACCATACCAATGTCGTAGAATGCCAAAATCAAACGAAAAAGGACGAAATTGTAAAGAAATGAACTTGAAGACTAGATTATTCGCCAAACCATATTCTGTCCCATTTGTTCAACCCACATGACCACGTAGATTTCATAATGAAAACAGCTTTTTTTTGGCTAAAACTTTTTTTTTTATTCGCACGCGCGCATCAATTTTGGGGTTCCCGGAGGATGTCATCCATATAATCAAATCAACATGGCCTAAGTTTTGGGAAGTTGGGATAAATTGTAGATGTTTGAATAGTCAACTCATTTCGAGCGTTGTCATGTAACGAACAGTTTGAGATAAAATGTATTTCGTATTCCACAGCCTTTGCACTACAATATTTACAAATTCTTTCACATACAGGTAGCCTTCTCTACCAGCCTCTCTCTATTTCCAGAGGATGGGCGCTAACTCTTATTTTGCATTGATACGTCCTTATAGGAGGGTTTGCCCAGGTCGCAGTGTCTGATCCTGCGCAGAAGCCAACCCTGTCCCCGTACGAGCGGCCCGCCACCTCCCGCTTCCTGGTCACCGCCTTTCAGGTGCAGAGAAACATCCAATCTACACCTCCGAACTTTAACAACCTAGATTCAATCTTTACGGAAAAAGTAGCCACATCAAACCGCATTGCGTAACGTTACGTAACGTTAAATTTGAATGGTCATGTTTAATATACTGTTTGTTATCTGAACACTTTTCCTCCAAGAAAAGCAACGTTACCCTACCCTTCCTTAATTAAAATATCTGTTATTCACAATAGTACTTTTATCCTCTATATTATTTATGTGTTATCTCATTTATTTATCAATAATGAATATACTAGTAGTTGATTGTGTTCTATTTATGGTCGAATTTCTGCATCTCTGATTTTCTCTTGTTTTATGTAAAATATAGTTTATCTAAAGTGGTGACATAGTTAAAACACGTTAGTAAAGGTTAGCCTCTACCAGGCCTCGGAAGCGGTTGGGAAGAGTAGAAATTGACAAAATAGAGAGATAACATATAGGGGAGTTGGTCCGCTAGAGTAGTTTGCCGCACCCCTGTCATGTTATCTCTCTACTTGGCTAATTTCTACTCTTTTCAGCCGCCTCCCGAAGCCTGGTAGAGGCTAAATAAAGCTTGTTTCATTCATTCATTCACCCATCCACCCATTCATTCATCCATTCGCTTATTTTTTCATTCTTTCCTATTTCTTTTCCTCTTCATTTGAAGGTGCCCGACGCCGTGCCTGCAGAGGAGTTCGAGGCTAACTGGAAGGACTGGAGCGGGGTTAGTCTGCTGGAGAGCGAGGCGGGGCCTGATACAGGCTACGCGCACTCCGCTCTCTACAAGAAAGTTTCCCCCATGGGAGACTTCCGTTACGTCACGCGCTCGGAGTTCTCCGGGCTGCACGACAAGCACGACGAGGGGATGAAGCTCGTCGGCAAAGTCCGTGAGCACTTCGGGTCCGGCTCGGCCGCTGCTCGGAAAATCACGAGTTACTCTTCCTTGTTCAAGGTCGCCATTGACGTGCATCAACCAGAATAGAAGCCCGAAGTCTGAGGCCGATGTGAAGTCCCCGTCACACTTTAAAGGCATCCAATGCGACTTCAGAGCAGCAAAATTGGAAATATTCTGAATAAGGCAATCTTTGGCCATCTTTGTGATATTGACACATACTGCTTCACATTAGCACATTTCAGTCAGCATTTCATATTCTGGGCGTTTAAAACAGCAGAAACAAGCCCCAAGATGAGTCCTTTATTTTCTGTGTGGTACCCTAAAAATCAGCCTAGGGCCCTTCCAGTAACCATTTTTCGTCAGGATTTTGGGACTTTTTGCTTCTTGAGGGTCAATATACATTGGGATAGTGTAGTTTCAACTCACTATGTAGATAAATGACTAGAATATTGGCTTTGAAAAATCGGGTTTCCAAGCCCTAAAAGCTGCACTTAAAGGTGCCTTAAAGGTGCAATTTTAGGGCGGCAAAGCAATTTTTTTTGGTGTGAGGAAATCTATCTGATACTGTCACTAGACATTTACTGCCATTTCTTAGCACTTTTTACTGCCATTTCTTATATTTAGCAAATTTTCCTCATCAATTCATACTTGAAGCGTTGGAAATAGCCCCAAAGCAAAAGAAACAAGGTGTGCGAGGCGCCATTGTTTTTGGGTACCACCCAGAAATATCCATACAAAGTCCTCGATTCGACTTACTACATTAAAAGAATTAGCAGAAAATTGACTTTAAAAATCCACTTTGCTATCCTGAAATTGCATTTGCTACCTTTAAGAATTTAGACTCCCCAACACCCCCAACCATGGTTTAATAGGAGTAGGCCGGGAGGTCCGATCATAGTTGGCCGGTGTTCGGCTGTAAGTTTAATAGTGAAACACCAGCCAACCATTTGTGAGTAAGTCAGCTGTGTTCTTGGCATGTTTGAGGGCCAAATTTGGCTTTTCACATAGAAAGGTAGGCGTGGCCTAAACCTGGTCAGACTGCTCCAGAACTTCAACCGAATCTGGTAAGTTGGAGTTCGGGAACAAATTTGGGGGAAGATTGTGAAAGGGGCCTTACGTATACGTACATGTGCGGGCCTTTTATTTTTCTAAACCAGGTTAAAGTTCATGTACGTGTACGACATTGAAGTGAACTCAAGATTTCTTTGAAAAATTGTGACTACAACTCCAATGTGGTTGTGATGTTGTTACACATAAATAAGGTAAACATGTAGAGATACTAATAAAGAATGCACAGACAATAAAAACAGGATTACAACCAATGGATTCCGAAGTTTATTGTAAAATTCTCATTAAACTTCATCTATAACAAATATGTGCACTGTTGTATGATTGTCAGACCAAGGAGCTTAAAATATAGATCTAGCATTTAGAATTAGAATCTACATTTTAAGCTGTAGATTTTAAAGTTTCAAGCTCTAGATTTTAAACTCCTTGGTCAGTTAATCTGTCTTACACTTAAGTACTAGTAAGGCCACACTGTCTTAATTTTATGGATAACATCCGCGCACGCATTAATTTTCACCTGTTCTCAAAAAAAAAAGATCACGTCCACCGAGGCTCTGGTCTGGCTCTAGGCCTGGGTAGTCCATGGTAGTTAGCGACAATACGGAGCCGGGCACCCAGGCCGCAGAAGCTCCATGACTCAAGAACTCAGTACATACATGTACCTACAGTGCCAATTCATAAATTCCGCAAAAAGCCAGCATGTGTCGCGGCTTGTCGTATACGTCGCTAAGTACTGCCGCAAATTCACAATACCAGCTTTGTATTCCTGTGGTTTAGTAGCATTTTCATTTTTGGCCTGAATTTTTTTTTATTCGCCCGCGCGCACTAGTTTGGGGGTGTTCAGAGGATGTCATCCATAGAATTAAGTCGGTGTGGCCCAAAAAGATTTCATTGTGGCTTCTTCAAACATCCCGAATACTGGATAGTAAACTTACAATTCAGTATAAGTACATGGCTTTGTGTACTATCGCTGTATATATTTTAAAAACAAGTTCACTTAAAAGACCGGTAGCTTAGATTTTGTAATAATTTTCATTGTATGCAACAGCATTATAATCTTTGATCAAGGTGCTTAAAACATTGAACATTTTCAATAAATGTATGCAACATTTAACAAAAACATTACTTGAAAACATAACTTTTCAAAGCTTATAAATGGGATCATATAAAATAGAATATTTCTGCTGGACATGACATTTCTGTTTGTATCTTAATGAATGTATATGGAGTTAGATAAATGTAATCAATGTTTGCAATTGATGAGCTACAAGGTAAATTGTATCTCAATGGAACAAACATTACAAAGCAGCAAGAGCAATTAAAACAATCCTATACTTTCTACAGTATGACAAATGAAAAAGAATGTCATAATTTTCTTGCATAGATAGCATACATGTACATTTTGAATTACAGTCATTCCATAAAAGGACTGACATAATTTGTTTTTCATATTTTCTTATGAACTAAGGAGAAGCAATGCTTTGGCACAAATCAAATGTGCATTAATAAATCTATCAATTGTTACATATCAAGCTTTTAATTCTCAACATAATTACAACAAATAATGGCAAGAATCTGAAGTAAAGTTTCTCTAAAATATTGCTAACAACATTGCAGCATTATGCGCTATTCCATTTTTAAAGGCCCCGTTCCCACTGGGATAAAATTATCTGGATCAAGCTGAATTGATTGGTGACTGCCAGTTTCGATCCGGTCAACTTTACAACAACCGAAAATAGTTTCATCAGGTTGGTAAAGTATAGGAGTATAGGAGTTTTCTTTTACACAACCAAGATAGTTACCTTGCTGACTTTGTGGTGCCTATCAGACACCTTTCTCAGAGCTTCTGACTGGAGTTCAGTTTCTTGCTGCTATATGTAGTTGATGTAGGTGGCACTTTTGCCACGTTTGGGATTGTGTTCTCGACACAAAAGTGCTACATATAGCGGCGAGAAGCAGAACTCCAGTCAGAAGCTCTGAGGAAGGTGTCTGATAGACACCGAAACTTCAGCAAAATAACTATCTTGGTTGTGTAAAAGAAAACTCCTGTATCCTAAACTTTACCACACTTGAAACATTCACTATAACAGTCATAATCATGATCATAGTTATAGTTATAGACAGCTACCTTTATCATGTAGACTTTTAAGTAAGTTATTTTGTACTCTGTTTCATTTTTCTTTTATGTTTGTAATTTGCAATTAGCCTCCGGGCACGAATTTGCAATAAACTTTTCGCTATATCTGGCTTAGTTTGAGATGGAGCCAAGGATCTACCTTACAAAGTAGATCCTAGCTGATCTGGACAAATTTGTCCTTATGGGAAAAGGGCTAGAGTTACAGATTTGATCAGAAGTTTGGGAAGAACCTCTGGATCATGGGAGTACCTGGATACCCTTCCTTGTCCTTTGGGTTGCCGAGGTAGACAGTGAAGTGGCCCTGGCTGAAGTCATATATGGCTGTAAGGTAGAGGGGAGGAAAGATTCTAGTAAGGCCACATGATATGTCGATGAAGGTTAGACATCTAGGTAATACGATATGCCAAAAAGCAGTTACTCAAGCAACTAGATATGATTTTGGAAACGGTCAGACGTTTCAGCTAGTATCCACTAGCTTTCGTTTGTGACTGAGAGACCAGAGGCCACATGACTTTAATTTCATGGGTGACATCTGCGTGTGCATTGATTTTTGCCTGTTCTAAAAAAAAATCACCTCCAAGGAGGCTCTGGCTTGGGTGCCATCCTCTATAGTCCATGGCAGCCAGCAACAATAAGGAGCCGGCGGTAACTACGGAGGACAGCACCCAGGCTGCTGAAGCTCCACAGAACTCAAGAACTCAGTACAGTACCGACTCATAAATGCCACAAATGGCCAGCATGTGCCGGCTTGCCGTAAAAGTCGCTATGTACTACTACTAAATCCACCAGCTTTGTATTCCTGAGTGTAGCAGCATTTTGTTTGGCTGGAAGCTTTTTATTTGCTCATACACACTATTTAGGGGGTCTTCAGAGAATGTCATCCATAAATTAAGTCAGTGTGGCCTTATGTCAACATAAGAAATCTACATTATTACTAAGCACTCAAATAACCTAGTAAACCAGTGCTTGCAGTTGTAAAAAAAATAAACATTTAACTTGACAATAAAATAAGAACAGGTAGGATTAAGAAGATGTGCAGAGTATTGGAAGTTCAAGAAAATATGAAGCAGCAGAAAATGTTGTATTGCGGATCAGGTAATGCCCCCTACCTGTTGCCACAGTCTCTGCACCATCCTTGTTGTTAGGACTTCTGTATATGGGATAGTCAGGATCTTCTGTATCCCCTAAAACACAAATGTTATATTGTGAACATTTGATAAAAATCTGAAGAAAATTATATGCTAATTAAATTTTTCCACACTACTGGTGGAAATCTTACAATGTCAAGTCAGATAAGACTAAAAGGCATATGACTGAGAATTGAGAGCTCACCAAGTATGTCCACAATGTTCCTCAGATCATAAGGACTTCCCATCTGTGCTGCTCTGGCCTTGCGATGTTCTGTGCTGGGGTCCTCATACTGTGGAACAGTACCATTCAGCTTATCATACCTGCAGTTACAGAGAGAGTAGGTAGAGGTCCTTGTTGTACCATCAAATATGCTTTGTCATTCTATCCTTCTATTAGAGTGGTCAACAACAACAAAGAACATTGTGATATGTTGTAGATGATTATATGGTCCATTATGACAACTTAGCCTGGTTACCAGACCTACTAGTATTATAGCTCCCCAGTACTAAATCCTTTCCGCAGGTTTGCTAACCTGGTAACCAGGCTACATACAACTGTGTTTTGTACACATGTATGTAAGGACACAACAATTTAATTTCTTGGTTAATGGATTTTTCTAGAAAAATAATGGAGCAGGCGGGCGAAAAAATAATAAAAACAGGCCTAGGCATCCTATTATGGTCCAAAATGGTACAATAGGAGCCATGAAGTTAACACACCAGGCTGGTTCAAAATTTAAACAATGAATTTTGAACTTTTAATGATACCATTTCATTGAAAGATGGAATAACTGTAACAACTAGGAAGAAAAGGACTGTTTTCAACTGTTCAGGGCAAAATATGAGCATTTTGCAGTTGATTCTGAATTTTTTTTTTTTTTTGCAAATCAGAAAAAAATGAAGCGGACGAATCCATTAACCAAGAAATTAAATTGTTGTGGCCTAAGATAGTCCTGTATGTTAGCAAACTTTACTGTGATAGTTGTGTGTTTATCAAAAGAAAGACTCACATGTTGAAATGGAAGTAATGCTGCAGTCCTTGTACGTCCAACACTGTTTGGGAGTACTGTGGTGTGCTGGGTGTTGTCGGCGCAACCTCAATGTTGTATAGTTTGCTGAAGTCTGATGCATAACCGATATTCACACTGTAGGATATAATCACATATTTATGCACGTAGGACAGTCATATATATTCACATTCAGCAAAAGACTTGTGAAAATGGAGGTATTGTTTCTGACCTGTCTGTGTGTGTGTGTGTGTTTGTGTGTGTGTTTCTGTTTCTGCATATTTTTGGTCAACATAATTTAAGAAGGCATTTATGGATTGTGATGATATTTGGTAAATTGCTAGGTCTTACGAAAACAAAACCTAAGGTCAAATTTGGGCCTCCTGGTGGCTGACCTGGCTTGTTACTGCAGCGTAACTTCTAGTTTTTGTATCTTTTGTCCCAGACATAACATGGTCTTGATTTTATGGTGGCAGATCAAATGCTATAAAACAGCATTTACATTTTTCATATTGAAGTTTTCTTGAACTATATAGATATACTTCTTAGAACTTGTTTAAGATGGTAGAAACAAACCTTATGAGAAATTACTTTTCCCTACCTGAAGCCAGATGCCACACCTGGTCCGTTCTTGTTGGTTACAATATCCAGGGCATGACTGGGATCCGTGGCTGCCAGCATGGCTCTGTTCAACATGTAACGAACTGTGGAAATCAGGGGTGCATTTAGTATATAACAGTTTTTATCAACGTAACACAATGATGTAACATTTGTGTTCCAAGAACTTCAAAAGGGATTGTTCTCACCTAGAGCTTTCAAAAGTAATTCTGATCTTCTTCGACAGACTGAACCAGTTTTGGTGTCACACTTCAGAGAAGCCACGTGACAAGCCTCACTGGGTCAGTCTACTGAAGATCAGAGTGACTGGTTAAAAGTTCTAGGTGAGTATACTTTCTTGCGTTGGAACAAAAGTTCTAACCATACACAGTTGTAACTACCAACACTGATGGATATTCATGTCATGATGATAACATCACGTAATGAGTGCATTCAATATGGACTAAGAGGTCCCAGCTTGAAGGGACCAGATGTTGATAATCACCTGTACCCAAGGGAGCCCATGAGACAGGTGTGTGCAAAAAATGCATATTTTGTTACTGCGAACATATTTTGTGAATTACAGTATTTTATAGCCTTCAAAATACCTAAAATGTTTTCCAGAAATCTAACCTTTCATCTAAAAATCTAGCATTTCATTCAATATGGACTAAGAGGTCCCAGCTTGAGGAGACCAGATGTTGATAATCACCTGTACCCAAGGGAGCCCATGACAGGTGTGTAAAAAAATGCATACTGTAATTCCTGATTTTTTTTTTGCAGCACTTTTTATGTTTACAATTTTTGTGGTAACTTCTGTACCGAGAATTATTGTTACAATTAAGAAATATTTTGCACAATTAACAAATTTTTTCTGCACTTGTGTTTTTTTTTCTGACCACAAACTTTTGTTACTGCAAAAATACATGTATTTTGTTGCTGCGAACATATTTTGTGAATTACAGTATTTTAGCCTTTAAAATGTTTTCCAGTCCAGAAATCGAACCTTCCATCTAGTTTAAACATAATTAAACTCAATCAGTAGCTATCTCTTTGTCTTTGAATGAAAATAGTTAACCCAAATGCAAGTTTTATGTAAAGTTATAATAAAATACAGACCTTGCTTATTGGGCTGCACGTTTTTAGGAAACACAGCGTTGACGGTGAAGACCATGCCGTTTAAGTTGTGTCCAAAGGCACATCCCGGCAGGTGTCCCGGGTACGTGTAGGCAGTGAAGTACTCCCAGTCTCCTATCTGTGTACCTGTAACGGTTATGACTTATTATCATGAAAGTTCATCTGTGTTGGTAGTAATCATAGTGTGTTGGAATAAAGTTTAACGTTTTACTATGGTTATGACTTATGTAAGGCCACACCAAGTAAATTTTATGGATGACGTCCTTTGAGTCTCAGACCCTAAATCTAATGCGAGAGGGCGGAAAAAAACAAGGCGGGCAGAAAAAAACAAGGTTCCTACATTTAAAAATTTTGACTCAATCATTGTACATATGGTTTTTATTCAGTGGGAACATCACATATACACAGCCAGCATCACATATTACTGTGCACATCAAAGTAAGAAACAAAACATTGAATCAGAGCCTTTTCTTGTCTCCTCTCTTCATTGTTATCTGCCATCCACCTTCCGGCATTGGCAACAGACATCTTTGCCCATTTTCGGCATGTTGACCACTGTCAGAAGGCAACAAAATTTCTTGTTTTTTTCTCCAAAATCAGGCGAAAATTAATGCGTGGGCTGATGTCATCCATAAAATTACTAACTTGCTGTGGCCTTATGTAACTATGGTAATCTGTTAGTGACCATATGGAGAGACATGTTATGGAGAGATATGCATATTTTAGCGCGTTGGGTAGGCACTGATTGGTTAGTGAGAGTAACCAATCAGGTAAAGGACTACTATTGTCAACAAAGTTGAGCTTGGAAGAGACAATCGCTCTGTTAGTCAGTTGGTGACCAAGGACTCAAACATGTACATGTGTAGTTGTAGCTCTGTAGATTAGTATTGTATAACTGTTAGTACCTCATCTGTGTATCGTAGACCATTGGTAACTCTCTGTGTAACTATTAGTGCTAAACTCCCTGTAAACCTTTAGACCATATCTGTTAGTAGAATTTTAACATATGGATTAATAAACGCGGGTCAGCAGAAGTAATCGAACTGTTTGGATCTCGTTTATACTAATTATAGTAAGGCCACACCAACTTAATTTTATGGATGACATCCTCTGAAGACCCCCAAATAAAAGAAAAATCCGGCCAAAAATAAAAAAGCTACTAAATCACAGGAATACAAATCTGGTATTGTGAATTTGCGGCAGTACTTAAAGCGACGTATACGACAGTACTTAGCGACGTATACGGCACTGTGCGTGTGTACTGAGTTCTTGCCGTTGACGCGTCGAGGAGCTTCGGAGTTACCACCGGCTCCGTATTGTCGCTCCGTATTATTGCTAACTACCATGGGCTGACTACCCAGGCCTAGAGCCTCCGAGGACATGATCTTTTTTTTGAGAACAGGCAAAAATCAATGAGCGCGCGGATGTCATCCATAAAATTAAGTCGGTGTGGCCTAAGATACATATAGACGCTAAGATACCAAATTACCACCAAACCCTATATATTACATACCGTTAGGCAGCTTATGTGGGGAGATCTGTGCATGGATAAGGTAGGCGTGATCTTTAACCAGAGGGTCAGAGTCCTCATTGTGTGCCAGCACTCTCTGGTTCGCGATGTCCATAAAAACGTCTGTACACGAAGAAACGTCCCTCTTCCTTTGCATCAGCAGAATTTCGTGCCTAACGGTTAAGAGGAAGGCCTGTATGAAAGGCACATTGGCGCCGTCACTTATACCGGTTAGCTCGGAAATGTACTGAGGGAAGGACTCATTCGCGACTTTCAAGTAGCCGTCTACGATCGCCTTTCCTTTGTCTGACTGGTAGAAGGGAGTTAGGACGTCGTGAAGGAGGGTGTATTTGGTGTAGAAGTCTTGGATCCGCTCTCTGAAGGTGTAGCCGACGGTGTAGCCCACCTCGTAGTGCGTCCCCCGGACGTGCAGTTCGGGCAAGTTGAGGGTATTGTTCAGCGGCGACACCGGTACCGGTTTAGCGTAAACAAAGCCGCACGTACACAACAACGTTAGAACAGCCACTAGAGCCATCTTCGGTCCGTATATCATCGCTAGAATGGCCATACGGGATCTAGAAAGTCAACGCTGCAGGCGAGATCGTGCAAACGTCCCAAACGCTCGGCGTATTTACAAAATTTGAGGTCTCGTGATCGTAAAAGTTGGCAGACAAGTTAGGTCACCAGCGGCCATTGTGTTGTGTCAGAGGTCACAGGACGGGCGCATTGCTATTTCACAGGGGTACTTAAATCAAATCGTACCAACACATCCAACAAAGATTTCATGAAGTAAAAATCATTTCTATGGCATTCTAACCATGTTTATAAGAAAAATTCCACTGGTCATCGGCAAAATTGCCCAGAATATCTTCCCTACACTTAAATTGTTATACCTGCCTTTACCAATACCTTGTACATCCCTTTCTGACAGATATTGTAACGTTACTATGTATAACTTGTGTATACATCTTTTGACACCCTAAGTATTATCAAACAATTAAATTAAGTTTTCCCTGCATGACAGTTCATATTTTGAAAGTTAAAACGTCATTAGAAGCTCAAATTGTGCAACTATATGTGTATAACCCTCTATCAGTAACTTATGGGTGTATCTGTCCTTGGTACTGAAAGAGAAGGCCACAAGTAAGGTCTCCGAGATTTCATTTCTTTCCCCTTGTTTCGCTAGAGTAACAGTAAGCATACTGTCATTAGGTTTGATAACAATCCGACAAATGTTATTTATGCATTCAACTTGTTTGTTTGTGTGTTTGTTTTATTAGGATCTCTATTAATTTAGTGTACCAATTCACACTATTCTGCCTGGAGTCCTGGTCATAATGTAAATCAAGGGGGTTTGCCAGGCCTCCAACCAAGTGATTTAAAAGTGAATCACCAACTTCTAGATAGTAGTATTTAGACCATTGCACACCAGGGCATGACCCTACTCTTTTCGAAAGGTCTGGTGGGTTCTTTAACGTGCGTAGGGTGTGGCTCTCCCCAAACACGGGGCCTCCATTTAACGCCGTATCTGAGGGACGTCCCTAACCAAAGATAGGTCATTTTACAAGTGCAAGGGCACAAGATCGGTGGCATGGCAGGATTCGAACCTGGGACCTCTTGGTTCACCCGGGCACTCGACCCCACGCCAATTTCAACTCGGCAGTTAACACGTGAGTGGTGCACCAGTGAGTGGCATTAATTCATGAAACTAAGAAAACAAATACGTTCACACTAGCATCCATAGCAATTAATATCAACCCTAAACCATCCCTACAGAGACAGAAAGTGTGTGTTGATTCCTCAACCTCCAATTCATTCATTACTACAACGATTATGTAACCATTGTAATTTGAACAGAATAGAGGACGAACGCCATATTTTGTAATAGAATGTGAACTGTATATAGCAAAAAGAGAAATGAACTCCTACACTGTACACTAAAATTCACAGGGGCCGTCATCAAACATTTTCTATCAAAACTCCCAATATGACAAGGCTGAAACGTATTATAAGATTAATTGAAGAAAAAAGGGGTCCTGGAGTAAACAACATGCTTTAGTATCAATATTCAAAGCTTCAGTTTCAGACAATTAAGATGACGATTATGAATAAGAATTATTAAATCTGAAACAGTTTGCCACACCCTGATACTGCTCTGCTGCTGAAGCACATATTCTACAAGCTGAGCATCAACAAGAGAACCAAAAATTCTTCACAACTCTCTCCAACTTCCGACCGAGGACATTCCTGACTAAACTAGCTACCAAGCTTGGGCAAATTTCAAAGGTAAGTACCTTTGGTATAGTCAGCAGTGCTCATTCTATTTTATGTTAATATTACCAACTGTGTGCTGCAATTTGGAGTTTTAGCACGAAAACCTTTCATAGTACACGTTCCCTTTCTGAATTGTCCACCGGCTGTTCAGGGAAACTAAAAGATTAAACAAATCAATAATATTTAATGTGAGCCTTCAAGCCCATTGCAGGTTAGTGTAGGTGCAAGTTAGAGCTGTGCAGGACTATTTTTGGTGTCTACCTGGACCTAACCGGCACCAGGGATAGAGTTAGGTTCCCTGACACTAACCGCAAAGAGAAACCAAGTGGTGCAGGTAAAATTTGTTTAGGACACTCTGGACATTTAATCTAAACCAGAGCAGGTTTTGCAGAAAAAGATATTTATTTATGCATTTTGAGCTCTGCAGCCTTATTGGTTTGTCCCAGATATTCTATGGCCAAGAATTCATTCTTTCCTAGAACATATAATCGCAGAGTAGACTTCCCTGTCACCGAGTACAGTGGGGGCATTGTCATTAGATAGCTTTAAACAGTGCCTAGAGTTAGATGCTCAAGAGTTAGGTGTAACAAGTCGATTGGTGTAATGTAGCCAGCTGCCGCCCCGCCGCGTGCCTGCAAAGCTGGTGTGTTACGCCAAATGGTGGTTATACCGGCTATACAGATATAGATGATTGTCTGCACACTCAGCAAAAAATTGGACACTGTATGCAGGCAGGCAGTGTTAGTTATGGACTAAGGTGGAGACGATTACATAAATTCTTGGGGGCCTATTCAGCATTAACATGTATGTCTGTATCATTCTGCATTTATGTATTCTGCATCTCAAGAGCCAGTGTCCTTCGGCTTAACATATACCATAAATTCCTGATCAAAGTATGAGTATGCATCCCCGATTCGGGGCTAGTTGCAGACAAATCGTGTTAAGATTTATAATTTTTAAGCTACTTCCCATCTCTGTTACTGGGAACGCCACCTTATAAAGTAAAACAAAAACCTGATCTGTACATTGATCATAGTGATATAACTCGACTGATATTCTACAAACATGACTATACATGTACAAGTCATGTAATATGATGTGCTGTGACATACTGTTTTGCTTTTGTTTCCAGTGTGAGGAGTTGAACCGTGAGCTGGACTTGCGGCTTCACCTCCACTCACCCAGGGCCAAGAGAATAGAGATGGACGTCCACAATGTCAGAGCAGATAACTTTGTCTTCTGAATCCCAGCAAATGATGTATGCAATTAAAAAACAAGCAAAAAAACAAGCCACTGCATTAGTTGTGTCCCATAATGATTCTGGCAGCATGTAGAGTGTGCAGTGTTGGCCACATTGTTAAGAGTAATGCTCAGTAAATCTGGGTGAATACCAAGCACATACAAGTTGCAAATGGCTAGCAAATTAAACGTATATGATGACTGCTATCAAGATATCTAAATTCTAAGACTATGGCTTGTAGTCCTCATAAAAAATATTGTATGATTTTTAAAATCCTTCGTGCACCAAAGATGTTTAACATGTATAGTTATAAGGTCACGTTCCACAGTGCAGAGCCTGACTAACTCTTGCTGTTCCCGCCAGCTGAACTGGCCATGCACCAGGAGAGAGTGTCCCGTCACTATAAGGGCATCACCACCGCGCTGAACGAGCTCAAGTCTCGCTTCACCGATCTCAACTCAGAACACAACCGGATGTTTGAACAGTTCCGAGAACACATCGAGAACATGGAACACATCTTCATCAACGCAACCAAGTCTACCAAGTAAGACAGTAGTTTAGGGCAGGCTTACATTCATGTTTCGCATACCATAAATTGTATATAATTGACCAAGGAACCTCCTTGCCCTAAATTGTTGGTTGAGATACACAACTGATTTTATTTAGTTTGTACATTGTATATACATAATTATGGTGTCAAGTGATAATAGATTTTTTTAATTATCACGTAAATTCTGTTTTCAGACTTGTGTCCTTGACAAACTCTCTGCAGACTTAGCCTCCTTCGCAGTCTTGTTGGGCGTCGGCGAGGGACTTTTTGCCACGGAAAGAAGGTTTCGCGCTCCAACAAGACTTGTTGGAGCGCGAAAACTTCTCTCCGTGGCAAAAAGTCCCTCGGCAGCAAATCGTCCCTCGCGGCGGCATATTACTCGCGTCGCTCAGAGAAAAAATTACGCCAACGCCCAACAAGACTGCGAAGGAGGCTACTGCAGACTGAGTTAGAAAAGGTAAGCTGCTACAGTGATAGAATATTATTTTTGGATTCTTTTGAAGTCACTAATGTTATAGAGTGCTATGTTTTATCATACTCCCTCTACCATTTCCTAATGCATCATCCAAAAGGCAATTGGACTATAAATTTCCTTTCAAATGAAGATATAAAACTTTTCATTCAAAAGCCTATAAAAAGGGTGGCACTAATGGTATTTAACAGTTTACAAACTATAAGGATATAATTGTAATGTGCATAAGAAATATTCCTTATCTGGAGCCATTCGTGATATAATTGTCTCTGAATGTACATCCCCAGTTCATGGACACCATCAGAGTCTCCCTGCGACAGTTCCGCGGTTTCCTTGACGACACCCTGGCAACACTGAGGGAGTCCAAAGCTCGCTTCAGGATGTCCTTCAAGTGAGTCTCATTCATTACAGTAACATCAGATTTGTGCATAGCTCGATTTTCAATTCAAATACTTTCAAAGTACATGTACCGGTATTGTAGCACTAGTAACAGTAGTGTTACACACTATTGTCACTTGATATTTGAAAAGACAGTGAATATTAACAAAAACTTGTCTTACATGCCAATTAAGGTTATATTGTTCTATTGGTTCATGAGTGACACTAAAGAAGAGTGGTGGATGTCACTTGAAACGTCCTGAAATTATCTCCGTAATTGATCCAGTAGTAGAGTTTGACTTTCCTATGAGTATTGTTTAACTGGATGTCTAACCTTCATCAACATATTAAAGTTTAAAGTTTAAAAATTTTGTCAAACTGTTTCCTTTTCTTTATTCTATTCACAAGGATTTATGAGCAGTAGCAAGCACAAATATGCTTATAAGATCTTTTGATCAAGAACATAAAACATACAAAATACAGGTTGAAATAACAAATACATAATGTGCAACGAACATTTTTCTGCCGTCCGTCCCCACAGACTGTTCTCAGATGGAGGTAACTTCTCTCCTGAGGAGATAGAGGAGTACAGGAAGAAGCTGGAGAGGATGGCTAACAAGATCGACTCAGCCGAGGGGTTTGTGATGGCTGACCTGGAGGGTATGGAGGCCAGGAGGCTGGACCAGGCCACAGAGGTCGTCAACAAGTTTGAGCACAGGTGACTGGCTGATGTCTTCAGCAGTAATGTAATGCCAAATGCATTATTACATGTATTAACCAGTAAACAGGCCATGCATGCCAATAGCCAGGATTTTGAAGGGGGGGGGGGGGGTTCTTCCCACTGTCTGAGGGACCTGCGAGGTTCCTAGGGGGGTCTGCGGCATGCTCCCCCGTAAAATTTTGAAAGTTGAACCCTCTGAAATGCCATTTCATGCATTTTTGATAGGGCTTCAATGAAAAAATTAGACATAACTTTTTATTCAGTGATATTAAAGTGAGCAGTTTTTGTATGATTCCAGTTCCACTGGTGATGCGAATCAGTCCATCTTTAAAGAAAAATCTTGGACCTTTAGATCACAAGTGGACCTTTAAGCCTTGTGGCTACGGGCATGCCATGCATTTACTTTCATAAATCAGGTGATGTACGTGACAGTAATAACAATAAGTATGTATAATTGATAGCCAATGCAGTGAGTGATGATGTAATTATATTCCACTTAAAAAAGATAATTATCTGCACTCCCCACTCACGCACAGAAGACAACTAGAGACTAGAGATGGGCTTGGTGAAATTTTAATGGTGTGAAACATTGGAATCCACGGGTGGGTGGGGGGGAGAAACTTTTAAGGGTTGTAGAGTTACAGTTACCGGCAGTTCTACGGAGCCGTGCTGTCACTGCCGTCGGCTCTGATCTCAAAGATGACCTCTGGGTCACGCGAGGTCAGAGGTCGGCAGCTAATTAGGTGATTTTGTCTTTCGCCAAAATACTCACACTGCTACATGTAGCAGGCTGCACCATGTTCAGGCGACAATCTCTATAATAGCCATCATAGCTCTGTCCTTGATGCTGAAACTGGAATCCACAGTCTATAGTTGTGCAATTTATATTAAACATGAGCGTATGGTTAATGGACCGTTCCAGATCCAACGCATCGAATCCTTTTTCGAATCCCTGTTCTAATTCGAACACCTCCGTCAAACTCAGCGCGGGAAATCTAAAAGCAGCAAACTGAGTTGATATCTGCTTGATAAAAACTGCTCGTTTTACATGTGAAACTGAATTTGTGACATTGCATCCACTTTCAAGTTGATTAAGGACGTTCTGTTATTCTTCCATTTGTTCATAAGCCATAATTATTGTTTATGTCCGTGTTTGCGTGCTTATTTTTCTACTTGTACCACAAATCCCCTATAACTTATAAGTTGCGCCCTCCCTCGTGAGTCCCCGTGAGTTTTTATTTCCCATTTCGTTTTCCCAAGCTTGTATGCAGCTGTGATTCATGCAGCAATGCTACTGAAAACCTGTAACAGATATAAATGTACTCTGTTTCACACATGTATCGGCTGTTACACAGCAACCGGGCACTCTTGTCCACCTACCGTGTGATGTTATGCGGCCGATCCCGCGTCTGTATTGAGCGAAAACATTTTGCTCTCACTGAAACTACCTCTGTCCCCTCCTAAAATAATTCTACTCTGCGGATGTACCGTTCAACAAATATAGCTTAACCAATTTTTTTGTCTCCTGTGAGAGTTTTTCGCTGCCGAAAAATCGACCGTAAAGTTGGGCTGCAAATCCGACATTCTGGCGGCGGCAGTCGGTACGGCCCTTCCCGCACTGATTTTGACGGAGGTGTTCGAGTTGCTAGGACTTGCTAAGGGGGGCGTGGCTTATGGAACGGTCCATTAAATGTGCCAGTAACAACTGTGGTAAGTTGTGAGTGTAGGATACATTGCCAAAGTGCAGCTCCCCCCTGTGCTGCTTGCCCCACGCATTATATTTGTAACCCCAGGTTCAAGAACCACCTGATGGACCTGATCTTCATCGAGAAGGTGACTCGCTGGTTTACCAACACACAGGTCAAGATCAAGAGTGAGGTCAGTCTACACATGTTTGATTTCCTTCCCCATATTCTTCTTTTAGTTGAAAATATCCAAATCCTTATTATGCATGGTTGCAGTCAGTGTTGAAACAAATGACATCCATGTATGGGTAATTTGGGTATGACAGGCTCTCATGTCTTACCTCCTTTGAAAAACATCACTACATCATTCTCTTCACTGATATATGAATTGGGAAACACCTTTGGAGTTCTTCATTTGCAACTACATGTATTGGCTTTCTAGTGTTGCTTCTTTATTTTCAATCCATGATTTTCTATGTATCTTAATGGACATAACTACAAAGTTTAAATTGGTAACAGATAGGATAAACCCAGCAGTTCTTGCCAGTGACAGAGCTTGTTTGCTTCCCCCTTTAGGTCCAGGAGAGTAACACCCAGTCCCAGACTCTCCACAACCACCTGAACCGCCTGGAGAGGAGGATAGACGCTGAGAGAAACCTAACCCTGACAAGGAGGTAAATAATCCTTCAGTTTAACACAGGAAAAGCTTCTCTTACACCAGATGGTTGAAATTAGAAGATTTTTATTGTTGATTGCTTGACAGAGCAGTCCCCTTTGTAACTTCTCATCTGTGTGTGTGCTTGTGTGGTAAACATCTTTATTAAGTCAAGGCTTAAAAACCTTGGTTGGTCCCTTAAAACAGATCAACAGTGATCAAAGGTTAGATGCAGATTCTATGGACTACACTATGATGCTGGCTATCAATAGAGCAGTCAGTCACCTTTGTAGCTCCTCTCCAAGTGCTATGTTATCTACCAAACCATGGTATTCTATTTAACCCTCAACAGTACACCTTCCCGGACTGATTAATCTGTACACCTGGGGTCCACGCGGACCCCAGAACAGTTTTTTGCTAATTTTTAGAAATTATCAACATGCTACCAGCTCAATTGTTTTGCAAACTGATGTGGGAACGTCTGTGTCCACATTACATACAAAAATCATACATTTTGAACTTTTTCTATTTTTTGGTGAAGAAAAGAAGACAAGAAGAAATACCCGATTTTTAAACCCATTTCAGACTGAAGGGGCTTTTGAGGCCCAACTTTGATCTCAGATAGCGGCTAAACGGCTTGCGCTAGAAGTATCAAATTTGGAGACCTTTCCTAAAATGTCTCTGGAAAAAAGTTCATATTAGTTTAATACTAGTAAGTTGATGTTTTTTTGTGTTGCCATGGCAACGGGCTATTTTTTTGAAAATAGAAGTAATTTTGGTTTAAACATAAAAATTTTCTGAGTTTTATATTAAATTACACTTCTTTTCCAACATTAATAACATCTTACATAATTAAATATAAGTTAAATCATTTAATATGCATAGAATATACTAATTTGATGACGTCATTGGTCAAAATCCAATATGGCGGACTATATTATTAGCTCTGACGTCATATGACGTCATAATTACACCAAAGTTATTAAAATTTAATTCTATTACTACACCATTCTCTGAAAACTTGGTAGACATACGATGAGTGCATAAAAACATATAAAAACGGAAATAAGGTAATGTATAAGAACGCCAGTGTATCCATTATGATCGAAAGCCGGCTGGGGTCCACGCGGACCCCAAAAGAAAATCAGATATAATTTTTTTTATAAATGGTAGAAACGGAGTTTTATGCACTGTATTAAGAGACAACTTTGTGGGTAACAATTACCTAAAATTTCAGAAAAAAATCTTTAGAAACAAAAAAGATATTACAGAATATATAGTGCTGGGGTCCACGCGGACCCCAGGTGTACTGTTTAGGGTTAAGATAAACAAGTTTCACCTCGTAGATACTAGTAGTAAGTCACTATATGTTCTCCATCGTCCACAGCAACTGACCCCCCAGCAGCTGGTAGACTACATGGCGGAGGTAATGGAGACGGTCCACGATCGCAGCCAGTACCTCAACTGTCTGAAGGAGTCCGCCCCGCCCCCCGAACCCGCGCCTGCGCCCGCCCCCGCACCCACGGGACGGGTCGGCTTCGTGGACGATGCCCTGGTGCAGCCTGGGAAGGGAGGCAAGCAGGTGGCGGAGGATGCCTCCATAGGTGTCATCAAGAACATTCTGAAGTACGGTTTGTGAGAAACTAGCTGTCACACTGCAACACCCATCATTCTGTTCTGAATCAAGGATTATCATTGAGATATTTTCCAGTTTACTTGTTAAATGAGAAATCTATTGTGCATCCGTCTGGGTAACTAAGAACAGAACTGGATGTTACCAGTGATGAAAGAAGAAATTACAAGAATTGTTTTCTCGGTAGATGGAATGTATTAAAAAGTGTGTTAAACTTTAACTGTTTCCCCCCAGGGATTGACATTGAGAAGTTCCCCACAACGAGACCTAATTGAGAGTTGTTGCAATATCAAAGGATCGTAAGCTTCTGTGAGGGACATGTTAACTTTACAATCAAAGTTACTCATAAGTTTCACATTTCCTTCCACTCAACAAGTTCAAGTTGTCGCTGTCCAGTATTGCTGACTAGAAGGAGGCACAGCTGACCAGCGAGACAAGATGGACAGAAAATTGGACTACCTCTGTCCAGAAAGTAAAGGACCTGTACTGACCAGACATTGTGTCCATTTACACTGTATATTTCATGTAGAAAGTTTGGCTGTCATAAATAGATCTTAAAATGTTCCTGTTGTAGATGTTGGGTCATCTTTGAGTGTACAGACTGAGTTATCATTGGTATGCAGTAGAATTTATGCACAATTATTCGTCAGATTCACTATGGGGGACAGAGCTTAACAAGAAAAAGTCACAAATACATGTATTTGCTTGACTGTTGTTCTCTCCTACCAATTTATGAGGGAGCCTTGGAACAGTTGGATGATGTAAGCATTCCGTGTGTACAGCAGTTGGAAGACATATTAAGCAAGTAAAGCAACTGAGCGACAAAAGCATTCCATGTGTACATAGTCCCAATACTTTGTATATCTTGTTATGGGTTCACCACACCACGAAGTGGTGTGGTGAAACCATATTGCTTTTTCTGATGTTTCTTCTCCTTCTTCTCCTCCTCCTTCTCCTGCCATTTTTTAAATGGATTCAGCTTCTTCATTTTAGGGCCTAAGGTCCTGAAATTTGGTATGGAGGTACAGTGGGCAAATACCCCTAGGCGTTTTTTAAATTATTGTGATACAGGCTTTTAGAATGGTTTTATTTGAGTTTTTTGGCTGTGTTATAGCAAATGTATTACTGTGTTAGTTTGCCTTGTTTACCACGTTTGGGCATGAGTCATCACAATGGAATGCAGGGCATCAACCAATAGGCATGCAGCTTTCCTCTATACTTCTTGCTGATTGGCTGTTGGGATTTAACTTGATTAACACCTGCACAGAGCATTTCCACCTGCACAGAGCATTTCTTGCTGATTGGCTGTTGGGATTTAACTTGATTAACACCTGCACAGAGCATTTCCATACTGACAGTATGTCTGTATTCAAGTGTTTTGGTAGGTATTTCAAGCTTTCCTGCTCCAGCATTGGAATGCCGGGCATGGACGTTTTTTTTTTTTATTTTGAAAATCAACAGTTTGCATTATACAATTAAAAATCCTAACCAATAAAGTAGGGAATAGCTATCCAACTGTTGTTTTAGTTGTATTTTACTTCATATTATAGTTATATCAATGTAAATCATTGTTTTCCCTTGTGTTTCTCATTCTTTCCCTGCCATGTGGTAAAATGTGGTGAACCCATCGCTGTATTTGCTCCAAAGCAAATATTGGCCTTTCTAGTTTGAACTGATTTTTGAGAACATAATATTGACTTGAAACTATAGATTTGTTTTGTAGATGTACCTTCAGTGTGTTTCCAACCATAGGACAGATGCACTATAGACCAGGTTCATTGCCTGAGGATACTTTCTCTTCATATTTTGTAAGGCTTGTAAGTTGTATATGATACATGCACAGTACATTTGTAATAAAGAGACAGGTGTATTCTTTATTCTGTACAGCAATGAAGAAAGTTGATTTTGGATTCAGAAGGTGAAACAGAATAAAATTTTGACTCAAATTCATAATATCTGTATCATAATACCTGAGGCATTTAAGTAATGTGGGGGCAATTTGCTTGACAAATCAAGCATTTACAAATTTTAGTTTCTCTTTTTTAACTATGTCAAAAAACACTAACTTTATTTCCACCATATGCAACATAATTCTTAGAAACCCCAACTACAAACCAGTCAATACAAAGGATACAGACACACATTGTGGGTACTTGAATAGAAGCACTTTTTACCTCCATGAAAAATGGAGGTATTGTTTTTGGCGTGTATGTCTGTGTGTGTGTTTGTGTCTGTGTGTGTGTGTTTCCGCAACTTTGTAGTCAGCATAACTTCAGAACGCCTTTATGGATTGTGATATTTGGTATGATGGTAAGTCTTGGAAAGACAAAGGTCAAGGTCAAGTATGGGCCTCCTGGTGGATGACCTTGGTACTGCAGCAGAACTTCCGGTTTTTGTATCTTTTGTCCTGAACATGCTATGGTCTTGATTTTTTGGTGACAGATAGCTTGTCCTGTCAGGAATAAGTGGCGTAAGTTTGGTCCCCCTAGCAGCTTATTCTGGAACTGAAGGTTAGTTTCTGGTAAAAACTTTCAAAGCCAATAAGTCCAGATTGGAACAACGTATTTTCATCATTTTTGGTGTGTAGGTACCTGAGAGACAGTTGTACATGATTAAATGCAAATTATGCAAATTAAGGACTTCGTTTGCATAATTAATGAGGGAATTCTATAATTACAGTGTTTCATATAATGGTACTGCTATACATGTAATCTATTTAATCTGTGGCAGGCGGAACATCAACAGATACCAATTATGCAAATGATGACCTAATTTGCATAATTAATGTGAAAATTCTGTGAATCCTTATTGGTGAATGATGGGAATTTTATACCTGTAACATGTGTAAGTTACTTAAAGGTTTGCATCGCTATGCATATATTATGTTAATGTAGAGGTATTTGCATAATTAATGAGGACATAATTAACAAAGCAGGCCCATATTTCATGGAGGTATGAGATCTCGGAACTCTTGTTATGATTTTTTTTTTGCTTGAGCTGCCATTGAATCCTGAAAGCAAGATTTGCACATACAAAGGAAATATACATGTATCTCTCTTAATAATCCCTTGTACTCGCACGTTCTAGAAGTATACATATCACAACGTTTCTCATCAAGACATTTTCATGTTCAATATTGCGCGTGAAACATCACATCTTGGAGAAATATTGTTCTACTTTCCTGAAAATTTTGTTGGTGTTTAAACACTCAGGTACTTTATGAGTGGAAACAAGTGTTTGCTGTAACATTGGACATTCTGAGGAAGCTGCTTGGACGTTTATGACAAAAGTGACTTTGCTAATTTTTCTCCCGCCACCAGATTTTCTGCAAAAGCATGCATGGCTTTACGAACATAGAAATATTAACACCCGGTCAAATGTATGTAGACAACTTCTTCACCAAAAGCATATATCTGAGAAACTCGCCTTCATAGTCTAGATTACCTGGTCTCTTTCGTGAATTATATAAACATAACATGTTTAACATCATCATGATTACATACCAGACATGTAGATATTTCAACAATTTTTTTAATTGCTACTAAAATTGCATATCAAGTATAGTTATGCACCTTTCTTTAATGAGCTGAGTAATACTATCTCCTTTCCGTTCCCGTCTAAGATACTCAAAAGAGTAACAAGTTAACGTTATAACAAAGAAGGTAGAGTAACAAGGTAACGTTATAACAAACAATATACTAAGTGCTGATATAGTATAGATGATAACACTTCTGGCACACGAAATATTCGCATATACATTTTGTACACATCTGCAAAGGGCAGATGCCTTATGATTGGATAAGGCACCATTTTTTCTAGCGTAACTTCTGTGCCCTTTTCCTGTCATGTGTCTGTCTTGTTTTTAAGACACTGAAGTGACATAAAAAAAACCTCTGGGATATGCCCTTTGGTACATTGAAGTTTTCCCTAAACATTTCTGATAGTAACATACTTCACCAAATTAGAACAGTACAATGCTGTTACAGGAATGAACAGTAAATGTCACGGTTACTACACTTACGCTTGCTACGTCACAACCGAAGCATTCAGATTGTGTGCGTTTAACGTTAGTCTGATGACTCTGAATACATTGATTATTCTGCACTTGCACGTTTACGGAGGTGACTTGCACATAACACCTTGTCTCGAAAAGGTCCCACCACCTTCTGTTACTGTGTATCACAATGGTCCATAACACACATCAGCTGGATCACACTTGCGAACTCCAAACCAGCTACTGGCAGAACCTAATGTCTCTACTACTGCTCTGCAAGTAGCTGGGTTAGAAGGGGCTAACAAGGGAATATGTCCTCGTATCTGTACTCCATCTCAGGAGAGTAAGGGTACAAGTTTCCCGAGGAGTTCTCCTCTCTCTCGAGGTTCTTCAACTCTTCCTCGAAGAAGAACTTGTCCTGGCCAAAGGCCGGTTTGAGCTGGTCTAACCAGGTCGCCTTCTCGTCGTACTGAGCGTGGAAGATCTGGTGCGTCCACTCCGGGTTTCTGGCCTGAAAAACGGAACACAGGAATATCATTATGTCTGACAATGGACGGTCAGTATTCCACTAGATATCAATGTGCCAAATGTGTGAAATGACGCGTACAAATCAAAGTTACAATCCATTAGAAACAATCGTCTAAAAAATACTAGTACTGTTGAGGCTGTGTTTGCTGAAACGTTATTTTTGGTCACTCGAGATATGTTTTCGTCTTTTCCGGGTCAATGTTTTGGAGTGATAGTGAAATAGCTCACATTGAGATTTTACCCTCAACCTTATATAGTTATAAACCTACTTGTAACATCTTCAGCACGAAGACCTTCTCGCCGGCAATTTTGGACACGCCGAGCACGTGAACTTTCCCCGGTGTGGCTGACATGGAGGGTCCACGCAGGGTACGGCCCAGTCCCGATACCGAGGAGAACGCCTGGTTGTAGATCTCCACTGCTCTCGCCAGGGGGACCTGGTCATAGAACACATCGGAACACACTAAGCTTTATCATACATATTGATTGGCTGTGGCATAATGAGGTTCCTTCTGTGTCTATGATTAGCCCTCACCAGGCCTAAGGGGGTTGGGATCATAGTAGAATTCTCCAGGAATCATCCAAAGACAGGGTCTGACTAGCCAGGGGAGTTGGTTCACTGTTAGGGTTTCATTTGCCCCTCGCGCACAGGCAAGTGAACTCTACGGCGGCCAAACTCCCCTGGCCTACTAGTTTTCCTATTTCAAGGATTAAGGCTCAATTTTACTGTTTTAAATCCGTGTTAGTCTGGTGGAGACTAATCTAAGATAGTGACAGGTGTCAAGATTAGATAACGGAGCTAGGTCATCCATTTAAGGCATTCCATACTGGGTCGACTATATTAAGGACATCCCAGGGCTAGGGACCTTTGCAGTGGCTTCCGTCCTTATCTGAGAACACGTGAGGGCCAAGCGTGCATGCTTTCATTGATTACTAGACTATTCTAAGACTCTGGGACTGGAGAGTATGAGATGCCATAGTATTATTCTTGTCTATCTATTAGCTAGAAATGTCGTATCGCACTTGGGCCATTTACTTCTCAACAGTCAACAGCTTTAACTGATTGGGTGTTCAATGCCAATAGAACACAAAAACTACTCTCCAAACAGAAGTGTGGGTTTTGGGTTATTTTTGACGAGTTATTTAGCTTTTTTATCAGGGTTTCTTTTTTGCACTGGAATCAATAATGTCCTTGCTGGAATCTTTCTTTGGGATGGGTCAGAGTACACAAAAACACCTTTTAGGAAAGTAAACTGTGCTGGGGTAAATAAAATAGTATCGCTACCTCGAAGTAGTGCCTCGCGCCCGTATCTCTCTCCACGAACATGTAGTACGGGATGACGCCGAGCCGGGTCTCGGTGCGGACCAGGCGGGCCCACGTGGCGGGGTCGGCGTTGACGTGGTTGACGAGCGGTGCCTGTGCCCGGATCGCCGCGCCCGTCATCCGCAGCCGCCGGATGGCCTCCTGCACGGTCGGCGTGGACAGCTCCCGCGGGTGGGTGAAGTGGGCCATGATGGCTAACTGTCGACCTGACTTCACCACCTGGGAACAACAGGATCAGAAGTGATGGGTCACTTGATCCTGGTGAAGGGCCCCTTTTTTCTACGGAATATTTTATAATTCCTGGCACTGCACGTGTTTGAGACTTTTTTTACAGAACATTTCATAATTCTTTGCACTACGTAGAATATTTCATAGTTCTTGGCACTTTGTACATGTATTCAGAGTATATGTTATATATCGGGCTGGTAATACTCTCTAAACAGAGGTTTGGGTTTTTGTCGTGTTTTGAAGCTTTTTACCAGGCTTTCTTTTTTGCACTAGTGTCTTTTTTTTTTACGAAAATTGGTCTTTTGCCTCACCTTCTCGAATATGCGCAGCAGATCGTCCGAGTCTGTGTCGGTAACGTAGCGGTAGGGCCAGTAGGCCAGGGACTTGGTGCCGATGCGGACGGTGGAGAGGTGGTCCAGACACGGGTCCTTCAGCAGGGGGAGGATGTACCCGCCTAGCCGCGTCGCAGACATCACCATCGGGTCCCCTCCCGTCAGCAGCAGGTCGCTCACGTGCCGGTTCTGAGGTTTATATGTAAGAAATAGCGCACATTTAAACACAGTATAAAACGATTAACGCAATATCAGCAATACGACTGCTATAACTTAGAATGTGTCTTAGAATGTGCATACTAAGCTTGCTGTCAGATATAATACAAATTTCAGACATTCAGACCGTACTTGCAATACAACAATCTATTGCCATCTATTTTTTAGCCCTGGATCCAATACCATCGTCTAAATTTGTAAATGACTTTTATAATATTGATTTATATTGGTAATATTGATGATAAAATGTCTTACCCGCCGCAAGTAGATTTTAAGCAGTTTTGAGTCATCAGACTGGAACTGTTGGGGACTAGAAATGTACAAAAACATACACGAACTATTTACAACCATTTACATCAACAATGTATAGTTCTTATTTTCCACTAGACAAAATTTGTAACGATTTAAACCACACAAGAACACAAATACTAGTATCTATATAAGAAATGAAGAGTCGTGGCCTGTTTAATGTTGGTCAGTTTGGTACATGTATTCTGTGTTGTCCGTAGTATAGTCTCAACCTTATGTCACAATATATATAGAGACGGAAGACGGTAACTTTCTATCTTGCTGCTCTGATTGAAACTGAACAGGTTTTGGAGGTTCTCCCGGTATTACCTGCCGACAGACGTGAACTGTGCCCATCGGAAGCAGTACGTGCAGTAGGCGTGACAGAACTGTCCCTCTGCCGGGAAGAACAGGACGGTTTCCCGGTACTTGTGCTGCAGGCCCGGGAGAGGGACCCCGTCCACCCGGGGAACGTTCAGCGTCTTCTGCTGGGCGGGGTGCGGGTTCATCTCCTTCCGGATCCGCTCGGCCTCCCGCTGCAGTACCGTGCGTGGAGCTTTGTTCTGCAGCAACCTAGAACAGGAACAACCCAACAAACCTTGTTGAGCGGAGGTCTTCTCTCAACGTTTCTTGCGGAACAGACTGATTTGGTGTTAACCGTCATCTCCATTTTTCCTGGTTTTCCCTGGTTGAGCTAAGTTCTAGACTAGTTAAACTTTTAATAACCCACCATAACGCATGCAAGAAAATGTTGAAGACAAGCGACTTTCACCATCCCATTCCTTTTCCTATGTAGTATTAACAGAGTTTCACGAGCTCGAGCAGAGAAAAGCTTTATACTATTTCTCTTTGCTTCATTCTACATTTCTCTTTACATGTAAGTCAGTAACTACATCTATCGGCAACAATTATACTGATTTCCCAGGCTAAAATACACTGTACTGTACAATTCATTAGCAGTACAGTATCATGATAAGTTCTCTATTGCCGACTTTGGCGCTCATATGCTGGTTCTTGTCATGTTGTGCTTGGTTGGTGAATTGCGTTGATTTTTTTTTACCTCGACTTACATCGGAAGTATTTCATCTCCTTCCAGAACTATAGAGGATGCTTATGACTAATCTCCGAAAGATCGAAATCGACTGCCATGTATTTCCTGACTTGACGAGAGCATTATCAGTCAAATTTTCCCTCCAAACAACTCCTCGAAGAGTATGCTCATCGAGAGAGTCCTCCCCCAACCCCTAAAGTGAATGATGACGGTGAACACCGAATCTAGTCCCTTCCTACAACATTGTGTACAAGAACCGTTACACTTATACATTGCAAAGATGTATGGACAGAATGGAAACATCTTACTGCTTGAAGACAGCTTTCAGCTGGCATCAGGGATCCACCGAACAGCGTTCCCCGGCTGTAAGGTGTCGGCTCCCAATACTGCAAACATACCAGGAGGTAACCCACACCGAAACATCACACACTTCGCGCTGCACAAGGCAAGAGCGAGGAGACACAGAACAAAACCTTACATGCCCTAAAAGCTAGTAATGACGCCTAGAGGGGCTGATTGTCACCACGTTTCCATTACGAACAAATTTCCTAGTCTCTACCAGACTAACAACGTGGGTTTAAAAATCAGTAAAATTTAGCCCAATAGAGATTGTGGATTATAAATGGGATTATACCAAGATGGCGGCTAGTAGCAGACCATTGAACCAGTAGCTCTCTAAGATTTCTCAAAATTTGCTCCAAATTCTTAGTTTTCAGGTCTAATTACATGTTATTTCTTTAGAACAACATTCCAACACTGGACGAAGACGATTTTAGAGGATAGTGAAGCTCGGATTTCGCGGATGTTGACGGGATTGTGAAATAACATAAAAACGAACAGAGAGAGATACGCGCGCAACGAGAGCCCCCCTCCCCAACCAGGAGCGACTCACAAGTTCGACCTGGTTCCGGCGCTGAAATTGGCAGGAACAAGGTCCAACGTTGGAATAGGGAGATTCCGAACGTCATGTAGCAGCCAGGAAAGGGCAGAATTCAACACATGAGGACATTTTCGAGCCGGAAAGAGGAATTTACTCGAGACAAGAAGGAAACCACGTGCAACGTTAACGGGCGCCACTCTCCGTAAACAAGTTCGCACACGAGTACACAACCTCTACGAGGGAGAAGGAAGTTTCCGAACGTCAAAAAAAACAGAACAAGATGAGGCAGGACTACAGCAGAGAGGAAAAAAAAAACTATCTCGACAAAAACAAAATGGCGGAAGGCGGAAAAGTCGGAAACCGAACCAGAAGCAACAATGTAACTGTAAGTACATCTTCACATGAGCAATTTGGAAAAAGAAATGGCACAACCAGTAAAAAAAACAAGCAGATAGAACCACCATAAACACGTGCATCTAATGAAACATACAATGTGGAGAATGTGAGAAAATTGTAAGGGACACGGACAAACCAGTTGAATGTGAAATCTGTTTAGAATGGTTCCATGCAAAATGCGCCAAGGTCTCGGACAGCTTATATAGTGTCATCTCCGAGGAACCCGACGAGTGTCATTGGTTCTGCCAATATTGCAAACGTGGAGCTAAAAAACTGTACTTCAGAGTAGTTGCATTGTCGGGTGAACTACAAAAAGTGAATGAAAGACTACATGAAGTTAGCAAGGAATTAACTAGAACTAGAGAGGAAGTGAACAACCTCAAGGACACAGACAGTGTACTCGAAGCTCGAATTCAACAACTAGAAAATACTCAGCAGTCCACACTCGATACTTCAACAGAGCTAGGGAAGTTAACAGAGGACCAGATTGTGGAAAGGATTGTTGTCAAAACTACCGAGAAAGTAACAAAATCAGTGTCAGACAAAGTCGACCGCAAACTAGATGAAAGAGAGGACCAAGAATCTCGAAAGTTAAACCTCATTGTGCATAATCTTCCAGAAACCGAATCCAAACAATGCGACACTGACAGCTTTGCTGAACTAGTTAAAGATGAGTTCAAACTGAAAGTAAACATCACCAACGCCCAGAGATTAGGCAGACCTAACAACGGGAATCCAAGACTGCTTAAGGTAACACTGGCTAACCTGGGGGAGAAAAAACAAGTATTGGCACTGGCAAAGGATCTAAGAGAAATTTCACATGCGACATATAATCAAGTATACATACGACCAGACTTGACCAAAAAACAGCTCGAGGAATCAAAAAACCTAAGAGAGCACCTGAAGATCCAGCGAGAACGGTTTCCACAAAAAAAGTGGATGATCAGAAGAGGAGAAGTAGTAGAACTAAAGTAGCAAGAGATGTAACTCCATAATGAGCAAGTACGACGAACTCTGTGCACTACTGAATGAAAAGGACTACGGCATTATTTGCTTGACGGAAATAAAACCAAAACAGGGAGCGTTACCAGACAATCAGATTATGCAAATCCAGAACTATGACTTGTTTACAAGTGATCTGAGTGCACCAGACACAAGAGGAACATGCATCTACATTAAGTCTAACCTCGAAGCCAAGCAAGTAACCCCCACAACGGGATACCAAGACTGTACATGGGCAGCTATACAAGGTAGAGGCAACACGTCGATCCTAGTCGGCACTATCTATAGATCTGGGTCACCATCCTTGGCAATTACACGGGACTCAGAACTACATGAAACCCTAAAGTGGGCAACTGCATGGTATGAATACATCACATATGCTTATAACCGGAGATTTCAACCACCCAAGTATTAGATGGGACCCATTGCCTCACATCCGGAACACACATGCTGAACATACTGACAACCCAGCGTCAAAGTTTATCGAGTGTATCAGAGATGTGTTTTTGTATCAACATGTGACGCAACCTACTAGGTACAGGAGCAACCAAACGCCCACTCTTGATGACTTTATACTTACAAATGAGGAAGAGATGGTACAGCAGATTACACATGTGACGCCCCTGGGGGCAAGTAAACAGCACCAATCAGGAAAAAACATTGTTGAAATATGACAAAGCCAACTATGAGAAGATGAGAGAAGACCTAGACTTAGACTGGGACCAGCTGTTATTCGGCAAGTCGACACAGGAGGCCTTTAACGAGCTTCAGTCTAACATTACTAAAGCAGTAAAGAAACATGTCCCAAGAAAAACAATTGACTGTAGAAAAACGAGACTAAAACCGAAATGGATGAATAAAAACTCCTATCGGAAGACCAAAAAAAGCACCATGCATGGACAAAATATCTCAACACCAAGAGCACACGTGATTGGGAAGCGTACAAGAAAGCGCGAAACGCGGCCACTCACACAACTAAGTATCCACGTAGAAACTTTGAGAAAATGCTTGCTAGAGAGGCCAAAACCAACAACAAAGCATTCTGGAGCTACGTGAATAGCAGAAGAACAACCAAATCACAAGTAGGACAACTTAGGGATACACATGGGAATATTGCGACAACAGATAAACAAAAAGCTGAACGATCAGTATTACAAAACATTTACACATGAGAACCGGGATAATATCCCAGTATTCCAGTGCCACCAAGGCCCAACTCTGGAAACCGTAGAAGTGACTGAGGACCTGGTGTACAAACAACTCAAGTCACTAAGGGCAGATAAATCCCCAGGGAACGACGGGATGCATCCTAGGATACAGAGAGAACTTGCACATGTGATTGTTAGACCACTGACCTCAATATTTCAACTAAGCATTAACAATGCTGAACTTCCTGACCAATGGAAAGAAGCCAGCATCACCCCGATTTACAAGAAGGGAGATAAATCGGACCCAGCTAACTACAGACCAGTGTCACTCACTTCGGTACCTTGCAAGATGCTGGAAAGACTCATTTCTGACGCAATAATAAAACACATCAGGAAAAATGACCTCAACTGTGCACAACAGCACGGCTTTACCCAAGGCAAGTCAACGGTGACAAACCTGCTGGAGGCACTAGATGTATGGACGGAAACTTTGAGTCACCAAGTACCTGTCGACGTCATATTCCTTGATTACGCGAAGGCGTTCGACACAGTGCCACACGAGAGATTGCTAAGGAAACTTGAGTCACATGGGATTGTGGGGAAACTTTTGCAGTGGATAAGAACATTTCTCACATGCCGCACGCAACAAGTCGTGGTGAATGGCAAAGCATCCAGCCCTAAGCATGTAGCAAGCGGAGTTCCGCAAGGGTCGATTCTAGGCCCGCTATTATTTATGATCTTTGTCAGCGACATCCCCGCAGAGCTAAAAAAACTTTGTATCACTTTTTGCTGATGATACTAAAGTATATGCAGCGGCGCAAGAATGTGAAGATAATTCCCACAGTGAGTGTCTGCAAGCCGACCTAGGCAACCTCCAAGAATGGTCAGAGAGGATGCAGATGAGATTCCACCCAGATAAATGCAAGGTACTACATCTTGGTAAAAACAACCCTCGTCATGCATACACCATGTCAAAAGCAGATGGCACACTGCATAGGATAGAGTGCATCGAGGAAGAACAGGACTTGGGTGTACTAATTGACAGCAAACTGAGCTTCAGTAGCCATGTACAAATCCAAGCCAACAAGGTCAATAG